ATCAGTGCTGGTGCTGGCTTGTTCTGTTTAGTAGCTTCTTTCCTTCCTGCCATTAAAATCATTCCCTAAGGTACCCCTAAATTATCCATTACTTGACTAGACACCTTTGATTCCTGCTTAATGAAGTGACAAGTGGTATTACTGTAGATCATTTTGTTTATCATATTTTCTTAACACATACAAATCTTAAAACATTTCAAGTAATGTATTTCACCCATATTCTAACTGGTGTTCAGAGTTGTTAAAAGTATCAGCGTTTATTACTCAAGTAGAAGTATAAACCCTTCTTTTACAAAAACATTTTTGTAGTAGTGTTTTTGAAGTTAGAGTGTCATCTTAAACTGGTTAAGTTTAAGACCTCTTGGGGTTTGGGGTCATTTGGTGTTTCAGGCCTATGCAGAACATCAGGGGGGTCAAAGCATCTCCTTGGTATATTCCATTTTGGGTGGATTTCTGGAAGCTGTTTGGAGTTAGCCTTAAATGTGGTTTTCCACAGCCCATTGGAGTTTAAAGGGAAGGCTTTGAGAGTGCTGTTGATCATGTTCAGCTTCAGGCATTCCAGAATCCATGCATGCGGCAATGAGTCATAGGCTTTCTTGTAATCAACCCAGGCTGTGCACAGGTTTGTTTGTCTGGTTTTACAGTCCTGATATGTGTTTTTTCAACCAGTAGTTGGTGTTTGGCTCCTCTGATATTTTTACAAATACCTTTCTGTGCCACTGTCATGTGATGATCCATGTGTTGATCCATCTTTGCAGGTATGATGCCTAACAGTAACTCCAATGTTGTGGAGAGACAGGTTATTGGCCAATAGATTGTTGGGAATGTTTCCTCTAGGGGTCTTTCATTATCAGGACTGTTCAGCCTTAGGTCAGCCATGCAGGGTGTGTCCCGCTCTTCAGCAGCCAGGTACTTTGTGCTGCTTTGCATTAATGGAGAAAAGTCAGTTCCTTCCCATCAGTAGGTGTGGATAATGCCTGGACCTAGTGCTGATCAGTTTTTCAAAACTGAGTGTCTTTGTTGGAGATCTGTCATTGTTATGTACAGTGGACCTTATTCAGGGAGGTTATTATGGTCAGCTCTTAGGTCATTTAGTGACTGTGCATCATTATTAGGTGATGCTTCTTTCTCCCAGATATTTTTCCAGCATTGATCCATCCCCAGCCTTGACAAGTTGGCTTGTGTATTGTTACCTTGCCACTGGGAGTATACTTTAGCCAGTTCAGTGGAGAAAGGCCAGTTTATTTACCTGCTTCATCTCTTTGGTGTACCTTTTCAGTCGGGCTACCAAGGCTTGGAGAATTTATTTGACAGTTTCCAGGGCATCTGTTTATATTTCTTCAGATTTCCATTGCTAGACGATCCCCTCTGAAGTTCTGAGTGTTGGCAAACATCTGGGTTGCCTTGAATTTGGCTTCTAACCTTCTCTGCCACGGTGAATATTGTCCTCCATGGGTGTTCTTGACTTTACCTTGGCAAGCAACTCAAGAATGTACTGTATATCAGCTTATCGGTTTCTGTAAAGGTTGTAGTATGGACAATAGTTGTTATGGTGTTTAGTTGTTAGTTCAAAAGGTGGATAGCAAGCCTCCATAGTTCCCACAGTCTTTCATATTACCACGTTGGTTAGGGTAACTGGAGTAGTAGCATGCCAATAGTGCCTTTTTGAAAGTACTGTTTTAGGCTGCTTTGTAGAAAAAAAAACATCTATTAAAGAAATTAATGAGGGATTTCTGTTTTTAAATACAATTTGAAAACAATTTCATCTCATTGTATCTCATCAATGCAACATTAAAATAGAAACTTAAAACTGACATCAAATGTCTACTATACCAAACAAAAAGATATCATAAATCAGCATTAAATGGGAAAATAAATTTGAAAAAAGCCTTTGTTCTTTCCATATTTTTTGAGCTTGATTTGGGCTTTTTTCAAAGTTCACCTAAAGGGGTCTCATATATATGAGTGATTCTGGTCTCCTGCTGGCTCTGCCTGAGGCAAACAGTCCTTGAATTTATTAGTCTGATAGCAATGTCAAGTCAGAACAAGAGAACAACTAATTTTGTCTTTAGCTCCCACCATGCTGAATGTCCAAGGAGTCTGTTTGCCTACAGGTTCTGTTTCATCACGGACAAGGCAGAAGCACAAACAGAATGAATGAAAAATCATACCCTCCTGATATGTAGTCGGCAGCTCGGGTGAAGGTGTTTGGTGTTCTAAAATGCCAGTATATTTTGTTTAAAAAGCTTTATTTTCATCGTAAGTATCCAAGTCAAATATTTAAAGAAATAAAAAGAATGATATACAATTAAATGGATAAATTAGAAGAATTCTAACAATTCCAACTATACAAGCTTTGCGAAGAGCAGTTATTTATCAGACTGAAAAAGTAGGACACGTTTTTTAGCCCAAAATACAAAACCAGGAGGGTGCTATGAGATGTGGTAAATAAGATTGTGAGTCAAATATCTAATCTACAAGGAATACATTTGTGATAAGGAAACGGTGAACTAGAGAGGGTTTTGTGACCTTTCAAAATTTAAACGGAAAACACATAAAGAATGGCAACAGCAATTTTAGTATTATATTTTTTATTTTAATTAATTGACTTACCTTCTTCCTTTTCCAACTCATTGTCAGCATTTTTCTTTGCTTTAATCAAATGTAGAAAATGGGAAAATATAAAGATGCTGGTATTTAATCTTTGAATACTTATCATCACTTAAGGATATGAATATATAAAGTTGCCTACCCTGATCAATATTTACAGAATTAAAAAGTAGCACTCATGAGTCACTAAAGTCCTCTTGACCGACATTTATATAACATAAAATGTTTGTAATTTTGAGCTTTTGTATCGGCCAGAGTAAGACAGAAATGACAAACGTATTCTGGTTTGCATCACTCAATATTTGTTGTATTATTATTATAGCTCTTATTATTTCATTTTGTTGTTGTGTCTCTCTTTCTGTATGCAGCCAACTGCCTTTACACAGACATCCTTGCGAATCTGCTGGAACATGGTATAGCTGACATTTACTCTGTTTTAGTGGGAATGTAATTAACAAAATGTATTTTGTTTTCATTTAATGTCACTCTATTACTCAGCCACAGCTAGCACTTTTCAAGACAACAAAATTATCCAACATAAGAGGCATCATGAACGTGACTTGAAAGTAGAGTTCCACAGTGATACTAATTCACTAGAAGAAAAGGCCAGTTTCAAATTAAAAGTTACGGCCAATAGAATTATGAGATGCAGCAAATTTAGTGATCCCTGTAGTATTTAATATCTATGGCTTCAAAAGAAACTTGTCACGTGTCACCACCACTTTCAGGCAAATTACTCTGTAATGGCACCATTTATCCATTTAGCCTCATTGAGTTCCATGCAATGTTGCTCTCAACAAGTTCTTTGCCCAATGGTAGATGTTTCAAGCACTTCACTGAAAGTGGAGGATTGAGAGGTATTCAGTTTTAAACTGTCTTGGACTGTAGTTAAAGTGATCAATGTCTAAATCAACTGAAGCTTTTTTTTTCTGCATGGTAAATACTGCTTAATTCATAGATGTTCCACCTTCTAATAGTCTACATGATTCTTCAAAAATGTACAATGATTTCTACAATAGTACAGTAATGTTTATATTTTAAAACTGTAAATACAAGCCGGAGCATTGATTTCTTTAAAGCTTTCAAAACTTTGGAAGTGCCTGTATGTTTTGTGATGCTTATAGACAATGGGTTTTAGTTTTGTTATGCTTCTGTGTAGAGAGTGAGATAAAAAAAATAATTTAATTGTAATATTATTTTTGCAAAACACACTTTGTCAGAAAAGTCTGTATCCTATTTAAGCTGTTGATCTTCTAACGCTGTACTTGTAATACAAAGTGGATTGTTCCATTTTCTTTTAAACACATTATAAATGTCTTAAATCAGTTTTTCTAAACTTCCAACCATTTACATTGTTCTTATAAAGTTTTATTTAATTTATGATCGAAGCAATTTGGTTTACAGAAGAATGTCCTCACACAGGTGAATTATATGTATAAAATTGAAATATTCAATATATTGAATATTTAATATATGTATTTATTTTGTTTTGTTAGTATTACGGCCAGCAAACTGTTGCCACAATACATAAGAAAGTTATTTTGCATGGGTTTGGTTGCAGTGGACATTACCCCAGCAATTCAGAGCTGAGAAATCTGGTGATTGTTCATTACTATTGAGATTTATTTTAAATGTTTTGAAGAGCAGTCTTCCTTACACTAAAATACTGACTTTTAGGACGACATTTTCACTTGCTGTCAAACATATCCAACCCACTAACATGTGCGACGCGGAAGAAGAAAAAAAAAGAAAAAAAAAAACACTTCTTGGTTGGTAATGCCTTTTTTAGTGTATATCATTGGTTTTGCCTTCTAAGTGGTAAAAAGATTCCAACAGCACGGACACTGATCAGAGATAGATTCTAAAAGTGTTCCACTGTAAATTAAGAACAGAGAGCTCAATTATGTCAGTCTGAATCTAGTCACACACAAACTTAAACCTATTGTTAAAGATTTCAGCACCATGGAGAGCGACGACCAATGTTACTTAATGTTTGTAACTGAAATCACTAGTTTCTTAGGGTAGGAATTAAACATAAAACTATATATGGTGACAATGTGTTTCAATTATATTGTGCATTGTCAATTATTTTTTACTTATTTAAATTTCAATTTTTATCAAAATCCATCATGTATTATAAACTGAACTTACAGAAAGAAAAAAATATATATATTAAAAAAAACTACATAACGGCTGCTACCTTTCATTTAAGATTTATTGATACAAATTCAGCATTTTCTAAAACAAGTCACGACGCATCAACCTTCAGAACCGCTGCCCCTCCTGCCTGACAGAGTTCGGACCCACCCCTTACTGTCTGCCATGACTGTCCTCTACAATACCATATACTTGCTTCTTTGTACCTCCCCTTTCTCGCCCTCAGTCTGTGAATCCCAGCCTCCCTCTCTAGATATCCAACCCACTCCTCTCCGCCCGCAAACGGTTCATACGGTAAGAAAAAAAGAGAACTGTTTCAAACACGTCGACATAAATATAACTACTCGAGCTCCCTTTTATTTCCCCTCGTCCTCCCGACGGACTTCAGTACTTTTATACATTCAGATCTCCTATGCCAGAGACCACTCAGAAAGCACGGATTTTTTCCTCCTGAGCATGAGAAGGATTGCCAAATCATCCGCAATCCAACATCACCGACTGAGACACCAGCATGAGCCCTGGATACATATGCTCCAGCAGAAGTTGTTGGCTAGAGAATTAAGAAATCTTGGAGCACAAATACAGCAAAGAGAGGAGAGTCAGTTTTAGGTAAGTGCGTTTCTTCCGATTTGGACCTCTCACATAACACGACGGCGTCATTTTATACCTATATTTTTGCCCATCGCTGACCACGAGGTTGTGGTTGGGTAGGCAGGGCTTCACTGTGGCACAATTATGGCGATGTTGCGTGGTCAGCATGTTATTAAGGTGGTGGATGGTGTCCTTCTCCAGGTTGGAGGCAAATTTTCCTTTCTTTTTTTTCTGACTCCTTCTGGGTGAAGCTACCTTTAAAAATTCGCCCTAGAAGTCCTGCCAAGCTCCGCCCGGGCAAAATGTCGACAAATATCCACCGGGTTAATAATCAAACAAGTCTCATTTAACGCACGCATCTCCAAATCTTATGCAAATGAGTTTGTCTTCCAAATTACGCGCACTCTCCTCTGCGATGTTGCGGGGCAGCATTTCATGAAGGTGATGCGGAATCGCGGATATATCGGGGTATGAAACAGTGACCTCATAATTCTAGCCTTGCATGTATCATCATGGGTTTATTAGATAAAAATGATGATTGAAATTGTCTTGATGTCTCTGACCGTTCGCTGAGAAGTCAACAACACTGTTTCTGTTTAAACTCATCCCGGCTGCGCTCTGTTGTGCCTTTTGCCATCCATGTTGATCACTTCACTCCAGAAGCTGGGTTCTCCATCACCCATAACTAATTGCTTGTGCAGAAAAATCTATCAAAATCGCCTTTTTTGTAATTATTATGAATCTTCAGCTTACATGCTACTTGTTTAATGTTTAAAATAAGGTTTGATCTCTGTCTCTGTGTGCGTGCTGGCATGTCCCAACCTGAGAGCACATTTGTTGTTGCTTTGTGAGCCTGTCATCGGTGAGGCAAACTTGTCGTTCCATCAACTCGCTGTGATTGCTGTTCCGGCTGCTAACTGTGAGGGGAGCTCCTGCTCTTTTACACCAGCTTTAATTATGTGGCCAGAGGCAAGATAACTCTGTATGATACTGATAGCAACTCTATGAAATTAGAGAAGCAGCTTTTGTTTGAAATAAGCCCGGAAGCTTTATATGCAATTCCTGCAATTTCTATCTGACATTTTCTCCTTTGGAGAGCTGCCTTGAGAGAAGCGAGGATGTCCTCAAATGCAACCTAAAAGCACAAAGCTTTAGTTTGAGTTTAAATAAAAATGTTGATCCTAGTCAATTTTCTCGTCCTCTTCCTCTTTACACATGTGCAGAATAAACAGTCTGGAAGCTGAAATGTTTGGGAAAAACAACAAAACAAAAAACTGCCTTATCTGGCATGCCTCATTCAATCTGCTGGCCTTTTCAATGGCGCAAAGCTGGCAACATGTAATCATTCCCAAAAGCAAATCTGTCTAAATCACATTTCCAAAATGAAAATGCCAGCCGTAGCTTAAAGCTATATTTGTGTCATGGCTTTAGATGACCCAGTGTTGATCAAGCTTCGAGGGACTGAGTGGAGAACAAGCAGTAGCAGTGGCCATTTCAAATTCTTTCACCATACAGCTCATAAATTAAATGTTTAAAAACCTTCTCGCTATGACTTAAAATCCTAGAAAACCTATGTTAAAATATATTAATCTATAGCAAAGTTAACCTTAAGTATTTTTCAAAAGCCATGTTCGACTTTTAAAATTGTCACATCTTCAAGCACTTGAATGCATTTGATAGGGATACCAGTGAATATCATAAAAATAATGCCTTATAAAGTCTTACTATTAGTAAATATGTTCCATGTAGGCACAGCTTTTCCATAAAGACTCCTGCATTTAAAAAAATAAAAAATAAACATTTTGTACCATGAATTACCAGGGTTAGGTTATAAAACAATATCCCAAGCTGTAAACACCCTGGTTGCACACTATAGGTGTGTGTGATTTTTTTTATGCCTATCCACGTTATTTATTTCAAGGCAAGATTGCTTTAATCAGAGAAGCACTCAGGAGACTTAAAACTCTGCAAGAGCTGTAGAGATCCTCATAGTTACGAGAGATAGTCTGTTGATAAAAAAAACTTTAATTTATGTTTTCAAATCTCTCATTATATTTAAATATGACAATATGAAAGTCATTGTTGAGATAAATTAAATTATATGTCATGTTTAAAGGTTGCCCTTCTGATATAAGGCCCTAACAAGCATGACTGAATATCAAATCCTAATCAAAGTCCAAATTAACTTAAACTTGAGAATTTGTAGATAGACTCTAACTTGTTGTCCGCAGAGGCTGTACATTTCAGTCTATGCATGCAAAAAAATAGTTTTACTCACAGCAAAACAGGATGATAAAGAATAATACTTATTTATAAACAACAAATATAAATCATGTATTTTTATTATACATTAGTTGATATTAGTCTGCAACACAAAGTCCCTCACAAATACAATATTTAGCTTTTTAGTTGTAACATGAAAAAGGTGTGAAAATGGTTCAAAGGTATTTATTCTTTTACAAAGCATTGTATCATTCTGCACATTGTTTCTTCTCAACCTTCCCTTTTTTAAAACAATAATGGTGTTTCCAAACTTTAAAATGGATAGGGAACAACACAAGTCTGGCAGTAAAGCTGAGCTCTCTTCCTGTCTCCCTCTCCATCTTAGTATTCTTGTGTTGGTGCACCATTTCTCTTTGAGTGTTGGATACAGCTGTAGTGGCTAGCAGGCTACTCCCCAAGAGCTTTTGAAAGATAACTAGTTTTATTAGAAGCAGACAAAAGGGTCACATAATGACATATGAAAAAAATTCCCCATAACTGGCTAGTCAACAATTTTTTGAAAGGCAGCCTATGCAGTTGACCTCTTCTGAAGTCTGTCTGGTTTGTTTGCTGCAGCTGACAGTTTTATGAGACCACATGGGCCAAGCAGTGGTTTTTAATTTTAATAAAAATAAAATACACACCTCATGGCAATAATTAATAGCAAGCAAAGTATTAAATACATTTTTGCCAACAGAAGATGTTCTAAGAGCAAGCAATGTAGTTCTGAGTGTTTTTGAAAATTTATAAGAGACATTTGGTTGTTATTTATGCTTTGCAGATTTGAAAAAAAAAATGTGATAAGGTCTGTGAAGTAACATTCATCTGCTTTAAAAGGTAGTTATATCTTTATAACAAGGCATAACCTAATGACTGCACTTATCAATGCAACATAATATGTGAAACCACAGGCACACTAAAAAAAACCCACCAATCACAACTGTATTACACCAACAGCTTGGAAATTCATTATCTTTAGCCCTTTCTTCCTATTTTTATTTTATTTTATTTCATTTTTTATGTGTCTTATTTAAACAAAGAACCGCATGTTAATTGGGTTTTGGGACTGCAAGTCAAACTGTAAAAGGTCTACAAAAAGATGTGGAATCTAAAAGAAAATACATAAAAAACATATTTGGTACTAATTTACTTAGCTTAGGTTCCAAATTGTGTTTGCCAGTAGTTCACTGCAAGCTGATTTCTCCAGCACTAATACATTTGAAAGCAAAGTTTGGCTAGAATGCATTAGCAATGAATTTATATAGAAAAAAAATAAAAAGAAAGTTTTTGTTGTATATAATTATCTGCATATGGGAACCTTGCTTTGAAGAACAGATATCTCCGCCTAGCTCATGATACTTGCCAGGTAGGGGAAACACTGGATTGAAAACTGACACTAAACTGAGCCCCTGCCTCCCGGACCTATTATGTACTGCCAGGAAGCTCAAGTCATTAGTGCTCAAACATGATAAAGCTCACAACACAGAAGTAACTACAGTCATTTATCTTGCCTGACACCTCCTCGGTTTAGCTGGCTTAGTGACAGCACTAGTTATGCACTTATTGAAATAATTTCACCTCGCTTTTCAACAGGGAGTGTGATGTCTTGATGTGTAGTGGTCTGTGCTGGTGGATGATTATACACAGAACCTTACTTAATTTTCCTTTCCTTTGGTTCCTGCATTCCCTTCAGCATTAACAATTTCATTTGCTTTTTTATACAGGTTGCCTCTGTAATTAAATACAAAATACATTCCCTTTGTTTAGAAATCTCCTCCAAACTAGTTATTGACGGTTCAACATTGCTAAATGTTGTTGTCTATATTTTCTTAAATTAAATTTGACATCTGACTTAGATATCTTTGGAAATGTATACTGGTGGTCCAACTAAACAGTACTTTGAATTTGTTTTATTGTATCAAGGTCTTTCAATGTTTTAGTTGTATATAATATTGTTTATATGTGAATGCTCTGGCAAAAGTTTGATTGTCAATAAAAAGTAAATAAACATTTAGATTTTCTTTAAGTGTTATATATCACTGTATTAGTAGATGGCATGTACATGATAATGACATTGCTAAATGTGTTTTAGTTATTTTTCTAATATCAACTGTGTACCAGTTGACTGGACTTTATAATATCAAAGAGGTTCTGTAGTAATGAGGCGGAGAGAATTACAGCCAATCTCACTTTTCTTTTGCTCTGTGAAAGTCACTGCTTCCAGATGTTACCCAGAAAACAAAATATTTCAAAAAGTCAAATGAAGTTACACCTGTGTAGCAATAACTTCAAGGACAGGGGTAAGACTTACTCATAATCAGAGCTATTTTTCTGCACAGATAAAGAAAATGTAAAGACATAGAAATACTGAGCTGTTTTAACATTCCAAGATGTTTTTAAGTAAAATTCAAAACCTCTTGAAAAAGACGTGGAACCTGCTCGCCTCTTTTTACCTGCACTCACCAAAACAAAAGATAACATTGCAACTGTTCTCGTATCTGTTATTGTATTAGAGAGACATAAAAGGCTTTAACAGTAACAGTAGTTTAGCATCTAAAAGATTGATTTTTTCGAAAAGGGAGACAACTTGAACTTTGTTTGACTTTCGACCTGTCAGGGAAACAAGTAATACAAAATACAGTAAGGAAGTATGGAGTACTCCTGATCAGAACACATTATTTCCTAGAAAAAAACTTTTTCTGCAGTATTTTAGCTCATCTGAGACTTATTATATAAAGCCTGAATAGAGATGTGAA